CGCTTAACGTTAAAGACGAACCGGAACCTTCTGGACGTTACTGTCGACAATGTTCGTGTTAGTGCATTGATAGATACTGGCGCGCATGTGTCCATTACGAGTGCTAACCTTCGCCGCTGACTTAAAAAAGTTTTCACGCCCACCCTCAACTGAGCTGTACGAGTTGCCTATGAAGGAACTGCCCCAATTCTTGGCATGTGCTCTGCGCGAGTTTCTATTAGGGAGAGAAGCACTGTCATTCTTTTCGCCGTTAGCGAACATTGCGCTCATGAACTCATTCTCAGTATGGATTTTCCATCCACGCACTCTGACCTCATAGACTGTTCAGCTGGCTCTCTCCATCTCGATTTACCTCTCTTTTTCGACCCGACCAGCCCACCGCAAACAAGCCTCTGCTGCATTGATTTCACGCGCCTCCCGCCTAACTCTGTCACACATGTCGACTTATCCTCCACGCCGCCAGTACCTGACGGTGATTGCATGGTGGCCCCGATTCCTGCTGTGATGGTTACGCATGAGGTTGCTGTGCCGCATATGATTCTGACGATTACGAGAAACCGCACCTATCTTCCAATGGTCAACTTCTCACTCCCCACCTAAATTCTTCCACAGGGTATCTCCCTGGCCAAAATTACGCTCTCCAAGACGACCATGTCGAGCCCTTCAGAGTTGACGATTACTGCTGCTCAGTCAGTGGTTCTACTCCGTCATGTTCTTGGGGCGCCGACATCGAGATAATGGTGTCATCGGACCTAACGTCTGAGCAAGCTGCAGAGCTTTGCCACGTTCTTGAGGGGCTATCGCAGCATTTTCGACTTTGCCAGCAACTCTTTAAGCCTAACGACCATTGTCGCCTATCGCATAAATACTGGCTATGCGACTCCCATTCACCGACGCCCCTACCGTGTTCCTGCATCGGAGCGTGCAATAATACAACAAGAAGTCTGCAAAATGCTTGTGAAAAACATTATCGAGCCTTCATGCAGCCCCTGGGCTTCTCCAGTCGTCCTTGTTAAAAAGAAGGATGGAACATGGCGCTTTTGTGTCGATTACCGTCACCTCAACAAAATTACAAAAAAAGATGTTTATCCTTTGCCTCGCATCGACGACGCCCTCGACTGCCTGTACGGTGCTACTTATTTTTCAACAATTGACCTTCGGTCAGGCTATGGGCACATAGCCGTCAACGAGATGGACCGCGAGAAGACCGCATTCATCACTCCTGATGGTCTTTATCAGTTTAAGGTGATGCCCTTTGGTCTCTGCAATGCGCCAGCCACATTTGAAAGAATGATGGACTCATTGCTCCAAGGGTTGAAATGGTCCACCTGCTTGTGTTACCTTGACGATGGTATTGTCATTTCGCCCACATTCGACTCGCATCTCGATCGTTTGTCAGCTATTCTGGACGTTTTTCGTCGAGCCGGACTCCAGCTTAACGCCTCCAAGCGTCACTTTGCTCGTCATCAAATTTCCGTGCTCGGTCACCTTGTCGATGCCCAAGGCATGCGTCCAGACCCATAGAAAATTCGCGCAGTCACAAACTTTTCCGTTCCGAGGACCACAAAGAATGTCCTCAGTTTTGTGGGGTTGTGCTATTTCAGACGCTTCGTTAAGGACTTTGCGACCATTGCACGTCCCCTCACAGACCTCTTGAAGAAAGACGCCTCGTTTATCTGGGGCCATGACCAAGCGTCATTGTTTTCCCAACTTACGACCCTGCTTACAACACCACCAATCTTGGCTCACTTTGATCCATCAGCCCCAACCGAGGTGCACACGGACGCCAGTGGACACTGCATAGGAGCTGTGCTATTGCAGCACTAATAAGGACACGACCGTGTTATAGCCTACGCAAGTCGACTGCTATCTCCAGCCGAGCGCAACTATTCCATCACGGAGCGCGAGTGCCTCGCCCTTGTATGGGCAGTCGCCAAGTTTCGTCCATACCTGTACGGGCGCTCATTCCGTGTTGTCACGGATCATGACGCGCTCTGCTGGCTAGCCTCCCTGAAGGACCCCACAGGACGTCTCGCTCGTTGGGCCCTACGCCTTCAGAATACACGTTCTCTGTAATGCATAAAACAAGGCGATTACATCAGGATGCGGATTGTTTATCCCTCTACCCTGTAGACGAAGCAACCGATACTGACGCTATCACGGACGTTTCTTCCGTGTCGCAGCTGCTGAACATTGGCGAAGAGCAACGTCGGGATGCTTCTTTACGAGCCATCATTGACAAACTGAAGTCAACGCTTCGCGACCCGTCCCTACAAATGTTTTTGGTGAAAGATGGAATCCTATACCACCGTAACCTTCGGATCAGACTTGCTTTCTATCATCCCAGCGCACTTGTGTTCCACTGTCCTGCATCAACTTTATGACGCTCCCATGACGGGCCATTTGGGCTTTTCTCGCACATACGATCGAGTAAGACGTCGGTTTTTTTTGGCTTGGACTTGCCCGCTCTGTTCGACGCTATGTCGCTGCTTGTGAGCCCTGCCAGCATCGCAAAACGCCGTCTGCCCTCTCGGCTGGCTACCTTCAGCCGATCGACGTTCCAACTAAACCTTTTTTCGAGTTGGTCTCGACCTGTTGGGCCCTTTTTCACTCTCAGCAGTCGGAAATAAATGGATCGCTTTTGGCACAGACTATGCGACATTGTACGCAATCACACGAGCCCTTCCGACCAGTTGCGCTACCAACGTTGTGGACTTTCTGCTGTACGACATAATGTTAGTGCACGGTGCTCCCCACCACTTCTCACCGACCGTGGCTGCACGTTCTTATCAGCTGTCGTTCACAAAATCCTGAGGTCTTGCCATACCAAGCACAAATTTACTACTTCGCACCATTCCCAGTCAAATGGCCTCACGGAGTGCCTCAACAGGACCCTAACCGATATGCTTGCCAAATACGTTGCGCCAGACCACCAGGATTGAGACATTCATTTGCCGTATGTGACGTTCGCCTACGATTCATCCCGTCACAACACTGCCGGCTATTCGCCCTTCTATCTCCTCTATGGCCGGGACCCAACTCTACCCTTAGACACTTTGCTACCTGCGGCCACTGAATATGCTAGGGAAGCCATTGCCCGCGCCGACCCACGCGCGCCAAGTCGCCCGTAATTGTCTACAGGCCTCAAAGGCGCACCAATGACAGCTCTACGATTCTCACCATACAGACGTGCACTTTTCCCCGGGTTCTCTCGTGCTCCTCTGGTCACCCACTCGGCGTGTGGGACTGTCTGAGAAACTGTTGTCGCCCTACACTGGACCATTCCATATCGTTCGCCAAGTGACAGATGTCACGTACGAGATTGTTCCAACCGATCCAACAAAGTCATCGTCAGCTCCGAGCGACACCGTTCACGTGGCTTGGCTAAAGCCCTATTACCCCCCTTTGACATGATCTGCATAGATTTAGCACTGGGACAGTGCCTCTACCGCCAGGGGTTATGATACATAACAGCCGCTAAACGCGGCTGCATGAAAGAGGAGGACGAAGTGAGTTTTTGATTGATGCTGTTCTGGCGCCATCTTGCTCGTCGAGTTCTGTGCGCTGTGAATAGATTATTAAAGAAGCTACTCGTAACAATATGTACAAAATGTGGCCAATCTGTCACTAACAAAGGTGGCATGATCAGTACAATCACACACTGATAATACCACTTGCATACCTGCCAAGTTCAAGGATTCTCAATGGGGGGGGGGGGGGGGGGGTCGCGCTGAATTATTTGGTATTATTTTTTGGCAGCAAAAGAAAAAAAAAAGCGGAAAACAAGAGGGGGGGGGGGGGGTCTCAACCGCAAGCATATTGTCATTTTGGTCTTATGATGGCTTCGAGTGGCCGAACACACGAGAGTAGGGTTTCCCATGAAGGTGAGTCTCAAAGTCGCAAATACTCCCAAAATTTTGAGTCATCAAAATAACCAGCAAAATTTATTTACGTCAAAACCACTCGCGTATGTCTTCCTGGGACACACGTGAGTGGACGGGACGGCGCAGCTGGCTGCCACAATAGTGCGGGTCAAAGCTTTACTCGCTACTCTAGATTCTTTGGGCAGGAACGCCTAAACGCTTCTAGCTTTTTTACGTCTATACTGCCTTTAATCTACCGCTGCATTAACCGCGTACTCTCAGAGCTCTTAGATTGCTATCGCGTCGCTGCAACCGCTGTTTTGTGTGTGGCGGTAGTGCACGTGCCTTAAGATCAAGGGTTTTTTTTTTTGTTTTGTCACTATCTATGTTCGCACCTGCCACGGTTTTGTCCGCAGTGTTTGTGGAAAGCAGCATTGCTTAGAGTGGTCAAGTGTTAGACGCACACACATTTTTGGAGTTCTGTCAGTATATACATGATCGTGTTAAGAACAACCGTGGTTTCGTCCACAGCAATTATGGCAACAACCACACGCACTGTAGTGCATGTGCTGGTCGCACGCCGCTCTCGACCTTCGTTCGACGGTTTAGATACTAAAGTTCACATCGCCCGCAGCACTTAGAAAAAGTGCTCAAAACATTTGAATTTCAGCCCAATGAACACAGTGAAATTTGGCTGAGGAATTTCGCGAACCCTCATCTGCCGCATTTGCGCATCCCTGAGATTTTACTGTATGTTTAGATGAACGCCTCCTAAATTTGTTTATAATAAAATGCGGTCGGTTCGCAAAAAACCTTGAGTGGATTGACCTGCATTTTTGTCAATGCGGCCAGATCACACACACAAATTTTGATTTCCAGTAAATTTTCATTACTTCCGTACAAACCGAAGAAATGGTCAAGATCTGGGAGTCGCCCGGATGATTCGGGAGACTTTGCAGGTATCCACCAGCAAAAGATGCATAGCATCTATATTCTTGTTTCTTTTTTTTTTTTTGAGTAAACAAAGTGCAAAAAATTTACAAGTAGCATTTGTTTCTTTTCACAATAACATCTTGTTACAAATTCTACACCACACTGCACTCTGTTCATATGATCAGAATGAGAAAGAGTGCATACCTTTTTCTGCTTAACATTTCTCCTCCGAGTGAAGTAAGAAGCAATGTCATTTGTTGCTGTCATTTCAGTGAATACAGGTGGTGGGACTTGCTGTGCCGAACCAGTATTGTGAATGTCCAAGTACTTTCCCACAACATATTCCATCTAAAAAAATGACAAGCACATTATAGGCCTGCAACTTAAAAATTCACCTGACTAAGCATTGCAAAACAACTTGAAATACAAGTAGTAATTCGGAAGAGTCATAAAGTGCTCTCTCAACGAATGTATAATGCGCCATGAATATGTTTCAAGTAATTATGGACATACATTTACAGCACCACTCATACATATTAAAAAATAGCCCATTTCACACCTATTTTTGTTGCAAAGCTAACGCTACCACTTTATTGGCATGCATTTTTTTTTTGTCACAAGGTTTGTTAAGGTAGGCACACTGGCTACCATTGAAACATCCACAGGTGTGTGGCTTTTAGTTTTGTTTTTCTTTCATGAGTGCCTTCCATTAGTTGAACTCCCAAATTCTATGTATGCCAGGTATCTTATCTCCCAAATGGCAAGCGCCCTTCCCAATTCGTTCCCGACAGGAAGCAATTACAGCTGTTCACATTTGGGTGTCTGTGCATAGTTTTAACAATGTTTTCATGCTTGTGCATTTTTCTCCTTGAGAATCGTGAAAATCGATCACTGTGGGTGGCAATAAGATGAAGCATTCCTGGATGCTTCTGAATCATTCTTTTTTTATTTCAATGAGTGTACAACCGCATACTTTTTTCAGTATGGCCAGAAAAATCAAGGTTATGCTATGGACAAGTGCACATGTCGCCCAGCTGCAAGACAGCCAAGCAGTGAATCATCCGAAGTGGATTATGAACTAAATTGAAAACTGGAGTCTTATACATTAGATGTAAGCACTTGGAGGGGCCCTGAAACACTTTTTCACGTAACCGTGAAATGAATTGAACAAAAGAGCTTATTGCCTCATGAATTCAAATGGCACAAAAATTTTAAGAATCCGTCCAGTACGAACAGAGTTGCTAAGATTTGTCACACTCTACAATTTCATTCTCTCTTCTTTCGTGGGAAGGCCAAGGCAAAGAAAAATATGTCAGGCGCACCTCATAACATTGAGCACTTTTTCTTTTTTTTTTTTTTTCGAATTCCCAACTTTTTCAGTGTGATAACGCGCGCGTGTGTGGACAAGTCGCGGCCTCCTGCGGCAATCCCTGCAACCGAGCGCACCATGCTCAAATCGGCCAATGGCTGATAGAGGGCCTTCGAGTTATTTTTGAGCGTCTTCAGTCATTTGTCGTGGGAAGAGAAAGCAATTATTAGCAGACTTTCAAAATTTATTGTAAATTCCAGGCCACGCTCTACGCTAAAATATTTGGCTTGCGTGTTCTCTGGAGCCTCTACTACCATTGGCCAGCATTTTCTGAACATGCCCAAAAAGTGTTGTAGGGCCCTTTTAAGACAAGGAATTGTTTAAAAAGCCGGCTCGCAATCAAAACAGGAGGGACTTAAGAGGGGTATGTGTGGCACAATGATACAAATACTATCACAAAAGTGACAGTAGGCTCGTGGGGCATCCTTCTAGGCCTGTGAATCATACCTATTCCAGTGCATACAATATTATTTTAGGGGCGAAGCTCCTTATGGCATGGCTTGTGCATCCCCCATTGTATTACAGCTAGGTGGCATTAGCCGCCGCCTGATCTAAAGTGTACAGCCATATCGATCTATCCATCCATTCATTCGTTTGGAGCAGCGGAGGAGGAGAGAACAGGAGAGGGCTGAGAACCAGCTCTTCAGTTCAAGTCGCAGGCATCTTTTTATAGGAGGCGTTGCTTGTTACCATGACCTCGTTGTGCTTGCTACAATGTTAACGGCGGCGTCACAGTCGTCATGCGAGGTTGCCGTGAATTTGGCAAAGTGCGTCGTAGCACACGGTTTTGGGCGCCCCTCGAGATCACAGCAGATACCACTGTTGCGATTAAACGATTGCGAGAAAAGATAGCCACAAAAAGCTTTTATGGCGTGCGCAGGCGGCCCGGGGACAGCTTGCAGAAGATAGAGCCATCAACCACCGAACCACCGAAGATGAGTAAAGTGCAACAAATAATCTGTTTCCAAACAGTGTACGCGTATGTAAATCGCGAAAGGCTAAGCGACCGAACTTATTTTTGCATTACCGCATTTTTTGCTCCTCGCGAAAAAGTTTTCATACAAATTTACCCAGCGTAATAAACAAACTCCCCAACTTTGCTCCGATTTTTCAAGAAAAAAAGGGTGTTCATGACGCAAGTAAATACGGTAACTGTCCCTGTTGTCTTCACAGACGAACTCTGTGCCGAGGTGGAAAAACATTGCTGGACCTAAGGTGACAACGAAATGATCAATTCACAAAAACTCATTAACTTTATAATTATTGCCTTGAGAGAAATCATTTATAATTAAAAGTGATTGGATGCAAAAATTCATGGCGTATGCATTTTTTAATAAATAAAAAAAAACATGTAGTTCAAGATATTAATAGACCTTTTTCAAGCACACTAGCGCCGCCAACGGGCGCGCAACGGACGCCGAAGCAGAAACCGCGAAAAGTGCGTGGGCCTCATGCTTCAACTTTCCATTTGCACCGTGCCAGCGCTTCTCAGATCAAGTGAACTCTGCAGGGCGTGTAATATCACTGTGTGATTCACTCACAAACTTCTGTGATTATGTGCAATGGCCTGTCTACGATTTGCGCTTGTCCTCCCCTCCTGTTCTACCAGCTGAGCGGCTCAGAAGTGTCAGTTAGTTAAGTATTATTATCCTTTAGTGTCAGCTCGCCTTCGGCATAAACAAAAGACAGTACAACTTGGTTGCCTAAAAGGTGCAAGCACTGTCCATAAATTAACGGATGCATTATGAATCAAAGTCCTTTAACGCTGTTTATAAGTAAATTGTACAGTTCTGGTATATTCAGAGTCCTTTAGAAATAACCAGTATTCTGTAAAATAAGATACAGTCACCAGACCGTGTGTGCGTTGCTTGAACAATATGCACATACCAACTTTCCTTGGTACTGTAACTACAGGTTGGAATAAAACTTACAAGGTGAAAAGAAAGAAGTAGGACCAGGAAAGAAATATACACACTGGAAATGCTCACTCACGACTAAAAGTTTATAGCAAGTGTTAAAAAACATATGTATGAAAAGGAGGGTGCATCGCGCATGTCACAAAGAGGCACAAAAAAGAAAACAACCAAGACACATGTGTACAGTTGATTAATAAAGTGAAGTTTATAGTGTTGTAATGATAGCGAAGATTAATTGAAACAAGGTGTGGAGCTCTTTATAATACGTCTCTGGAATTTCTCGAGTGGTCTGGTTAGGGTGACTGAGCAAGATTATCAGGCTTTCAACGATGAAATTGCATTTGCATGACTGAAAATGTAAGGGGCAATAACATGGCTTCATTCAATGAATTTTGATACTCTCTGAGGCGTGCGTTAATACATCAACCAGTCTGACCGATGTATATATATGAACACAGGAGGAATTCGGTTAACAACTCTTGCACAACAATCGAAAGAACAATTTGCATGCCTCTCATAGTACTTTGCTCTGCCCACTGCAGATCCCAGCGACCTTTTGCGCTCTACGGAAGAAATTTTACTAGGCTTATGGTGCAGAAAACACAACCCTCCCCTCATATCGCTTCCGAATTTCCTTTCAGACTGTGCAGAACGTATGCGTAGAATAACTAGTTTCTTCGCTGGTGAAGGTCATCTGAATTAAACTTTGATTGCAGTGTAAATAAGCTGTTCACAAACTGATGCAGTATGATATATAGGCAGGACACCGTGCCTTGTTGCAGCTGGAAAATATTACTCAGGTAATGTGCCCAAGTTTTTTTTTTTTCTTCCTCAAGTGTAAGTACATAATTATTCCTCATTGAAAAATATTTGAATGTGCCGACGCGAAATTCAACAGTGGTCTCTTTCAACACGTAATATACTGGCAGCAAACATGCTCCGCAGGGACACATAAGCATCTTATAAGAAACCGCAAATAATCAGAAGAAGGTATTTGGTACGTGAATTCTAGTTCCATTACTTCACCTTTAAGGGGAGATGCGGATCGAAAAACACAAGTTTTTTTTCAAAATTACTGATTTTTTATTTTCGCCTGTTTTGATAAGATTAGTACCTCTACTGTTATGAAAAAAATAATACAGGTCGATACCTAACTGGAAATGCTTTAAAATTGCATCTAAAAAGCACAAGGTGCCTATCAAAGGTCGAAAGTGTGCAGTCTTCGAGCACCTTGCCGCCGATAATGCGCCGCCGCTCGCCATTGTTGATCGCATGAGTCGAAGATTCGAGCCTCACTCTTCAAATACCAACAGTTTCTCTCACTGATGCAGCGTAAGAAATAATAAAAAGAAGCACTCTTCTGCGTGTTTTTCGAGCGCCGCGACTGGCTTATCACATGGTACGAATCAGGGACCGCCATTGGCCACTGCACGCCTGTATGTGCTGTCAAGCCTATTTGTGGGGTCCATGTCTTGTCGAGCAGCACAGCTGAATAATGCTTTTCTCATGTAATTATCTCCGTTATGAATGAAAAAAGCCATTGCTCGCGAGTGAACGCTGTTGTGCAGCGCGCTCTGTAGGAATAGGCTACAAGCAGCTGGTCCGATTTGCGGAAGTTGTTGGCTTGGAAAAGTCAATGCATCAAAAGTCATTCACACCAGTCAGCCAGAAAGTTCATGATTGGGCAATGGACGATATCAGCACCAATCTTGTGAGGTCGAAAGAGCTCACAGTGAGGGAACTTAGCAGGGACGACATTGCCATTATTTACGATGGAATGTGGCACAAACATGGCCACAAAATGGCATGACACTGGACTTAGTTTGGATTTCGCAGTCCTGTCGAACTTCTTCCTAGCTGGCAGTTGGCACGAGGCTCTGCCAGATGGAGCGGAAGTTTTGTTTCATGGCCCTGTCAGTGAGCGAAATGTATGTGAGGAGTTGGCTCGAAAAAGCCGAGAGGGACTAACTCATGGTGCTGGCGTATTTTAGTCGCAGTGGCCACTACAAGAAGTATTGTTCTTTTTGGTGTGTGAATTTCATTTGATTTAATGGTATCTTTTTATAAATAAAAACTCAATTTTAACTTTAAAACTGTTTTTTCTCAAAACACAAATTTTGCCATTTTTTCCAATGTGCCCCTCCTTTTTTGGGCACTTCTAGTGCTCGGATCTGCAAGAAATCTTGCCCAAATTTTTTCCAAAGTATGACAAATGCAACTATCTAGCTTACAATTCAATATTCTATTGTATAATAAAAAAATTGTATGTATACCTTTACTAGAGTAGGTGAAATATGGACTTTTTATGTCTATTATTTTTTATGCGTATTACATATTTTGTATGTGCTTTCTAATTAGTTATTTGCACTCTACACTTTGTTTGAAGCATTATAAGCTATGAATGGTAAAAAATTACAGAAGTTTAGGGATGAAAAGAGGGGAGCAAAAGGGTTAAGGTTTTCACTTTGTCATGTTGCAGAGCTAAAAAGTGTGGAACTTGCAAGAAACCTAATTATATATTTGAAATCGGCATAAAAAGTTCCATAAACAGCTCAAGTTTCATTGCTCTAGGGTGAATACTAAAAAAAAGTGTCTTCGAGTAGCATCTCCCCTTAAAAACATTTAGAATGTGCTTACTTTTTATATTTTTAGCATGTGACTTTTCCATAAAAATTTTAAAAATTTTATAGCTGCAACACTTCTCTGCAGTCTTGTGTTGACGGCCCAATCAAACCGCGGTGGTATCAAAAGCCATAGCACGTCATAGCAGTTCATCGCTGAATAACTATGAAGTCAGTGTCCCAGCTCACATTTCTCAGGATAACATGTTTTGGCCACATCTATCGGTACACAAAATTCGCATGCTTCTACGTTCGATGTACACCCTCTTAACGATACCTACACTGACTGCGTTATTCATTTCACCATTTCATGCGTAGAGATGCGTGCAGGTGAGTTCGCACCCTATTCGACAAGCGGTGGCATGTTCTTTTCGTTTTGTGCTCGCACAGCGCAAACGAGCAGCGAACGGAAGAAGAGCCGGTTCACTCGGCGTACCAACTTTTTCTATAGTGCTCCGCGCATGCGAGGGGCGTTCTGGGATTGCTTGAAAAAAGTCTATTGTTGAAATGGATGCCTCCAATTAAAGAAGTATTAAAACCATGTTGTCCAGGTGCACAGGTAATGTGCCATCTAGCTTATGAGGACAAAATAATAGGCTCAAAAGATGGGACAAGCATTGTTTTTGCAAAGCTACATTTATCATTTCAAGCCTTAAACCTTCGTTTAACAAGCCCATACTTTGCAGACAGCTATATTGAGAAGTACAAGCCAAGAAGAAACAAAAACAATACTACTTCACAATCAGCGTCAACTAGTGGCACCCTGAAAAGAAGGGAGGAGGGTTAAGTCGCAACAGTGACAGCCTGGAGCATGCTGTGATAGCAGAGAGCTTTTTTTTTTTGCACTTTTTCCAAATGTGACAAAGTAGACCATTCTAGTGGCAGAATTTGAACTACACGCAAAATGGTAACCATAGTACATGTACTTTCACATTAAATTTTAAATGGCGCATTGCTATATTTAAGAGTACAATCTCTCTTAAACTTTCAATGTCGATGAAACACATTGGTTCTTTTTAAATAGTAGTGAATATGTAAAAGCACTTATTTATAATGGGATCCCACTTCACAGATAGTGCTGAGGTTTGGAAATGTGCCTGTCACATCGCATGCCTCTGAAATCAAGGATCGCACAAATGACTGATGTAGTCAAGACAGTATACTAATTTACTAGGCAGAATGAATTCCACTTACCACAGCCTGTATCCTGGCCCACACATCAGCCAAAGTGTACATTGGTACACCATTCTCAGGTCCCTGGGTATCCTAGAACAGTAATGTCCACTGATTAATGTCCCCCTTTTTTTGCCACAAAGAGTACTAGCACAAAGAGAAGTTGCAGAACATCACCACCTTCAACCTAAATAAAACATGTGCAGCTGGAAATTATATAAGCACATTGCTGCCATCATACTCAAATATAAACAAAGTTTGAAGACTTCTAGAATCATTTTACAAGCAACGAGTTGTTGAAAATGTCATATAAATTAAAACCTCATTAAATTGAAGCGACTGGAACTGTGAAAAATCTTTGAATTAAGTGGGTTTTTGAATTAATGAAACATACAAAAAGTGGGATGCAAGGACCTTTGAATTATTGAAAGTACTCGGAGGTGGTCGTTGACTGTGCCGGCTAGTTTACAGCTCCAAGGGTTTCCCATAATACCTGGACGCAATTTTGCTACAAACAAGGTTGAATGGCAGACACCGCTGCTGCCAGTGAAAGAAGGAAAAAAAAAGGTCTCATCGTCAGCTAAAATGTGCGTCTGCAGAAAGTAAGATGTGCTCCATCAGAACGTCACCTCGCAGCATCAATGCATCATGATGAGACCATTCACCCACTCTTTCTGGTAAAATAAATAATTTAATTGTGTCCAGTGTGACGAAATTTGCAATGTATTTTGGCTGAAAAACATAATCACTGAAGTTCTCTAACAGAGTTTTCAAAGTTGGCGCTACATGCGGGAACTCCCCCAGTAGCGCAGGTGCACAAATTGCTGGACCAACCACCAATCGAAAGTTTGCATACATCACAAATTGCATCCGACTGACCTTTCTTAATTATTTTATATTCCCAGAAAGAAAGGAAAAATGATGATCGATGTGCCCACGTGCCGAGTGTCACTACTGTGTTGCAGTGTAGCATATCTTCTTTTTCGCAGGTGCACAATCGAGCCAACTGCAATTTGTGGGGGTGATGACACCCTTCGTAAAGTTGTTTGCGCTGCGTACGCACGTGTCTCGCCCAAAAGCCGCATTTCGGGTTACAACTATCGGGCGGTAAGTGGCGTTGTGTTTGCGAGTGGTGATCACCACTATCATCATCATGGTTGGTAGAGTGGTAGCGCCGGCGGTGACCCCTGGCAGAAGGCAAGCTTTGGTGGCGGGCGAGAGAGCTGAGTGAGTCTCTTCTGCGCGTGGCTGTTGCCGCAAACGGTGCTCTCTACCGTGGGACCCCGGTGCGTGGCACCGCGGGTTGAGTGTCAGGGACCCTCGTGGAAGGTCAAGCGTTGGCGCCGCCGCCTTGGGTGTGTTATTGTGTTCGTCATGTTCTGTCGTGTTGTTTAATATTGTGTAAGGATGTCTTAGCGTGTTGATCACAATTGATGTATCGATTCGGCGGACGATATAGTCGTTCTAAAGCAGTAAAATAAATGTCTTGGTTTGGTTGGACCGACCGCTTCTGCTGTGTCCGTTCACTCCAAGAGCGCGGCGTGGCGCTCGCCATTTCGACACCCTACAAATTATACCTCTTTTTTAGCTAGCAGAAGTGAGGCTGAGGTGCCTCACCTGTCACTCGATAGTATCGAGATCAGGATCAGGATCAGGACCAAAAGTTTTCAAATTAACTGGACTGGTGCTCACCGCCGCTTCAAATTATCCACTCATACTGCAAAGTACGAGACTGCAGAAATCCTTCGAATTATGTGGGATTTTGAAATAGCCAAATTGAAATAATGAGGTTTTACTGTATGTTTGTATTTAAGAGATGCACCTCAGGGATCAGTTTTAATTAATAATAAGAATAAATGGACAAAATTTAAGCATGATGCAGAGCACATACGATTTTACTTTCTCAATATCCAATTATATTGCTGTCCTTCCTGGACATGAGAGAAACGGGACCTCTTGTGAAAGATTTGGGGATTATATCAAGCCTAAAAAAGTGCACTCACAGCTTTTTCAGTGAAGCTAGACATAAGGAAATTTGGTAATAACAGTACTAACAGAACTATACTCTTAATTTTAATATATTTAGTTTTAGAACTATACTTCTATAATAAATTTGGGGATATAACGAACTTATTTTCAAGTAAGATGACACTATTAAAATCAGGTCAGAGTTTATCTGAAAGCAGCCTGCACTGCTTTTTTTAAAAGAGAAGTAAATAAGCAAAAAAGCTGAAAAAGTATTTTTGATGAGTTATCTTTTTAAGGGGGTATGGTAGGATAAATGGTGCAGTATGTCAGTTTTAGCATAAAATGTTAGAAACTGCTGCATATATTCCCATAAAATCTTATGTGCTCACGAAAAATGCCATTGAATATCAAGTGACACCCTTTTTTTTATGTTAAGGTTGCCTATCCTTCCTATGGCGCACTGCCAAACTTTAAAGGAGGTTCACTTATTTAATGTACCTTTTCTCTGCAACCACCTAAAGGAATGTAATGATATTCAGCTGTGTTATTGTAGAGACTTGTAGGTTACATCAACTAAAAACATGTTACATTTTTCATGAAGCTTTTGAAAAAAATAATAAAATATACAGCATGCTCAAGGCCACAGTGGGTGCGTAGTGTTAAGTAATTTTTTTTACAGCTTCACTTCTTTTATAAAATTAGCAATTTTTTCTTAGTTCAGATTGTTTCTAACTTGTCGTAGCTCACACCTACAAAGTCATCAAAATCGATTCAATACTTTTTGAGAAAATGCACAGTGAAGTTGAGAAATTTATAAAAAACGCAACTTCAGAAAAACTTAGTTTTACGTGCGTATAGTGCTTATGCCAGAGGGCACGCGGCGCACTTAGGTGCGGCATTTACACTACTTGGAGCAGCCGCTCGACATTAGGATTCCACAGGTTTGCTGCTCAGAGTACAGTAGATTTTTTGGCGTCAAAATTGCAAATTCGACTTTTTGAAGGGCTGACCGTACCATACCCCCTTAATATTTCAATACTGACTATAACTGCCTTACAGTACTTAAAACTGGTTTTCTGAAAGATTAAGGACAATAGCTAATGCAATTCATATTAAAGCCTAAATACCTGCATTCTACACATTGTAGTACATCTGTTATGCAAAATATGGCCACGATTCAGACTAATAAAACGTGTACTGATACAAGCATTCATGGCCGAGACAGCCTGATGAGTCTATTTTCATTAACGTGTATGCAATGTACCACATCTGAACAGTGGGTACCATTTGAAAGGCAATTTGTTTGAATTTCGAACTTTGCGTGCGCAATCCTGCGTATATGTCACACCTTGTGACATTGACATCATCTGACGCGACCGTTACCCCCAACTTCCGCAACATCACCACTGCAGCTAGGCTCCGAGCTGGCACAGCTAGCGATGGTGATGCTGTCGGGTGCACTGTGCGATGGCCTCCGAGACTGCACGCAACCTGTCTGCGTGCGATCTCGAAGGTTTAGAAGGGTAAATGCTCAAATCTTCGAGCGCACTCATGAGAGCTCTGCAATCGCCAGTGATGCCAGCGTGCATCATGAGCTGAGGAGGCCAAGCAGAGGTGAGAAGGAGGGTAGGATATAATTGTCCATAGTGGCCTTGGTACGTGGATGACTGCTACTCTTTTAAACCAGTATGTTCACGCTATAGATTACAAGATGGCCAAGAAAAACAGAAAAGTCCTAATCATTGTCGACAACTGCCCAGGCCACGACAAGAGGCAGTGACAGTCGAGTTTCTGCCTACAAATATGACGTCAGTGCTGCAACCGATGAACCAAGGTGTCATCGAAATGGCCCAAAAAATCTACCGAAAGAGCCTTCTCCACAAAATTTTGTTGTCTTATGAGAACAGCAAAGGCTACGAAATTGACCTGCTGAGAGCACTAAACCTTCTCAGCAGCACTTGGCAGCAAGTTCGCGCAGCGGCTATCACCAAATGCTTTGAGCACGCTGGGTTGTCACGTGCTGCCAGTTTGCCTGAAGCAGAGATGGCAGAGACAGATATGACTTCACAGACTGTGAGGAACTTTGTCAAGAGGACATGAAGCTTACAGGTAATGGTGCCACTGAAAATGACGTGACTTTTCTGGAGTACACGCTGCGTGAGCAGGATGTGGCAGTGATCGGACAAATGAAGGACGCCGAAATCTTTCAAACGGCCCCTAACGTAGGGAATGACAGAGACAATGGCAATGACGAACCACCTCGAGAGGTGTTGACATCTGCTGAGAGAAAAAATTCGCTGCACTTGCTTCGAAATAAAGTCGAGTACAGCGCCGGGGAAGATAGACTGATTCGATGCATCAAGCAGCTAGAGGACGCCTTCCTAGGCCCGAGTATGACTGCAAAGCAGACGAGCATTAGGCAGTTTTTCTTTGCTAAATAAAATGGCAGTGCCACGAAACCCAGCCGGCTAAAGTCTCTTGCATGTTATTTTTTTTCTCTCTTTTAAACCTGCACGAGAAGAAAGATTAGAAACTGCCACTGAAGAGCTGGTCAGTAGTAGTGATTTTTTTTTAATGTGTGAATTTTTATCAGTGAGTAGTGCAACTTTACTTATCTCGAAAATTCATTGATCTCGAAATTTTCTTTGGCTTTTACGACTTCAAGTTAACGAGGTATTACTGTATAAAAGTGCACAAACATTCTAGAAGTGCAGCATGCTATAGACTCAGTTTTCAAAAACAGTATACCAGCTGGCCCACAGAATAAGCTTAAAGGGGAGAGAACCATGCAGTATTTAGTTTTTAATGGCTTTAAATAACATTAGAACTACCCTATTTACTTGCATAATTTGCCCACTTCTTGCGATTTTGGCGCCCCGAGAAGGGGGTGCGCAAATTATGCGGGGATTTTGTGAGCACATATGAAATATCGTGTCACAGTACTAATGCGCGCAGTATAATGAAAAAAAAAAAGAAAAAAATGGGAGAACAAACGAAGTGTACTTGTTAATTTAAAATAATTAGCACATACTTTAACTAGTCAGATCCGCGATCACTCGCGGTCTAGTGGGAATCACGGATCGCGAATCACCGCCCTCCCAAAGTGCATCGACGTCGGTTCTGTT